AAAGAACCTTCTTTTTCAACAGACAAAGATTATTACAGAGTTCCACAACTGGCCACACACTGAGATTGTCTGTGAATTGCCCAAGCCTAAGTGGCACATCTAGGATGCAACCTCTGAACCTAAGACTCAAGGAACATAGAACAAGGGATGAAGAGAACACTAGTGCATCTTTCAGTTCTCATCAATGAAGCTCCCTCAAGCAACAGAGGGCCAGGAACACAAAAGGTCACAAATGGCCAAAACAGAGAATAAGAGTCTGCAGAGCGTGGGTCCTTGGACAGGACTCCTATATTAAACTTCACCCACCCAGGGCTTACAGACCATTGTGGAAAGGGGGCGGAAAGATTGTAAGAGCCAGGGAGGAGGTGCAGGACCATACGGAACTAGTCCTATGACACCTGGGACCCTTCTCATACAAACCTACAGCAATGGTGTCAGCATGCACAAGACCCATGCAAACTCAAGCAGACAAAACCCAGCACAGAACTGTGGAAATGAACAACAAGCCCCAATCTTAGTTGAAGAATTATTGGCAGCTGATTACTGCTGGGTGAGGAAGAGCTGATCTTAAAGAGAGGGATTCTAGATAAGCCGAGTAGACCTCAGTGGATGAACTTGCACCGACGGATGTCTGGGGACACTAACACATGATAGACCTTAACACAAATGACAGAATGTATGAATTCCACTGGGGGGGGCTCTGGGAGGGGGCCAATGGGGAAGGGATATAAAGATGATTAAGATGTTCTGTATAAAATACACAAAAATTCAATAAAATTTTTTTTAAGAAACTTTGAAATCATTGCTGAACTATTTGCATTTCTAAAAGTAAAGATAAGAATTCCAGTTATTTTGTCTCCTCACCATCAATAGAGGTTTGTTTTTTAAGTTAAAACTACAGTTAGAATAACCAGTACATATGTGGTTTTAAGAAATTCAGAGGTCTGTCCACCTGCTCCACGGTCTCTCTGCATCTTGGAAACTGGTGGAGATCATAGGCACAGGCTCTGCAGGGCCTCAGCCTCCCAGTCTCTCATCTAGGCTTCCTGTGGTTGCTTCTGTTTGTGTTTAATTCTGTATAACTTGTCATATTATCATGTATATCAGATACCACAGTAAAAATATACAATAGTCCCATGATTTTAAGGGTTCCTTTGCTTTTCTTTCCTTTTTCTGAATGTACCTGCATCTTCCACGTCTTCCCTGTCAACCCCATCCCAGCCCTGACCGAGGTAACCACAGAGCTCTTCATTCCTATAATTTTGTCACTTTACAAATGTCATATGTACAACTCAACAATAAAAGAATAAAACTCAGAAGATTTCCATAGCTGTCTCCTCAGAGATAGACAACTGCGCCATGAGCACAAATGATGTTATGAGAGAAATGCAAAGGAGAGCCAGGAGATACCACTTCAGCCTGCCAGAGCTGCTGCAAAAACAACATGGAGTAACATTGAAAGAGGAGAGGGACCTTGTGCATTGCAGATGGAAGTAGAGAGCTCTGAGGTGGGCATGGAGAATTGTTTGAGGGTTCCTCCAAAAGTTGACCCGACTGCTGCATTACTCAGCAGTTCTGCCTTCAGCACATGCCCAAGAGAACTAAAGCCTAGGCTCTCTGCACAAAAACTTGTATGTGACTGCCCATGGCAGCGTCAGCCATGAGGTCCTCAGAGTTGAGACTACTCAGATGTCGAGCAGCTGATGAACGTCTAAGCATAATGGTTTTATCTGTATAGTTCAACATGGGAAAGCCACCAAGATCTGCTGCAGGCTGCAAGGCCAAGCCTTACAAACGTGACATGGAAGGAGTCAGACACAACAGGCCACATGCTGTGTGATTTCATGTCTATGAAATGTCCAGAGCTGGCAAATCCACAAGGGTAGAAAGACTCGTCGACACTAGGGATTGAAGAAGGAGTGAGGGGAATGGGGATTGACCATTGGCAGGTCGAGATTTCATTTTGGAGCAATGAAAAATTCTGGTATGTTGAAAATATGCTCACACCAAACTCTACCCAGATGGGATATATCACATCTACCTGCACCCCTCTCTCTTTCTCTCACACATCACTTTCTCTACTTGCGCCTCTCTCTCTCTCTCTTTCTCTCTCTGTCTCTCTCTCTCACACACACACATATGCATGCACACATGTATCATATTTGTGTATATATGTATTGTCTACAATGTATGGCACACATAAATTGTTTAATTCATAAATTCCCAAACTTGGGAATGACTAAGATGTCCTTCAGTAGGTAAGTGGAGAAATCAACTGATATAACCCAACAATGGAATATTAGTCAGCACTGAAGAGATGAGCTAGCCAATCATGAAAAGACATCGAGGAACATAAATGCACACTACTAAGTGAATGAAACCAGTCAGTAAAGGCTACATTCTGTATAATTTCAGCTGTGTAACATTCTAAGAAAGGCAAAACCGAGATGATCAGTAGGCCCAGGGGTTGGGGAAAGGAAGATGGAATGAGAAGTGACGTTATTCTGCAGGATACTGGAATGGTGGGTAGGGGTTACTACATGTTTTTCAAAACCCACACAGTGCACAATAGCAAGAGTCAACCTCAGTGTGATCCAGGCACTGTGGGTTGTAGTGATGCACAGCTTTAGAGAATATACATGCAGAGTTGTTGGTTGTAGTGAACATATACTCCACTGAGGAAGGGGGTAATGAGGGAAGCTGGGTATGTCAAAAGTTACTGTAATTCCTGCTCAATAAGTTCCCAACTAGACAATGATGATGACGATACAACATTGAAAAGAAGCAACTTTGTGAAAGGTAAATTTTATACTGTGTCGTTTTGTGTCAGTTTTTCCAGAAGAACACATTCCAAGAATGGAAGCTCTGTGGTCATAGCAAGTCCCCTGCTAGGGCCTGGCTCTTTTCATCACTAGACAAATTCCTGGAGATGCCACCAAGGTGCTGGCATATTAGTTCTTACTGCTTCTTCCCACTTTATTGCCGAGCGGTGTTGTGCCGTTTGGATGTACTACAGTTTACTGGGCCCCAACTTGGTGACGAATGCCCAGGGTCTTTCCAATACTGGATAGTATAAATATCTTTGGTTTAGATATTTTGGTGTAGGTTTTTAGAAAATGGTTTCCTTTTCCTGGGATAAATGCTTAAGATTGCAGTTGCTTTATTATTTGGTAATTGCATGTCAGCTTTATAACAAAATTACCAGGCTGGTTTCCAGAGTGTCTGTGCTGGTTTACACTCCCACCCAGCAGTGTATTAGAGGTACAGTTTGTCACTATTTGGTGTCACTACTTTTTAAAAACCATTCCAGTAGGTTTGTGATGGTGGCTCAGTGTAATTGTAATCTACAGTTCTTGATGCTAATGATGTTGAACATTTATAAATATTTATTTTTTTCCTATTTTGTTGTTTGTGTTTTGGTTTTTTTTTTTTTGGTTTGTTTGATTGAGGCAGTCTTCCTATGTAGCCTTGGCTGGCTGTGGACTCACCATGTAGACCAGACAGGCCTCAAATGTACAGTGATTTTCTTGCTTCTTCCTGAGTTCTGGGGTACAGGTATGTACTGCCATGTCCTTCCTAACTGCAGAAGTCCATCAAGCCTCTAGATATGTCTCCAGTTCCATAGAAAATACAAAAGAGAAACAAGTGATATCCTGAGAGAGCACCCAGAGAATGTGGGGCAATGCAGTAGGATATAGGTTGTAATTACTACAGATCAGTGGCTTGGGAAAAAAGTGTTTATATCTGTGTGAGGGGTGCCTATTGTAGGAAATAAAGGAGACTTGAGAGAAATAAGTAGCTACAACATGTGGACCTTGTTTGAATTTGAGAAAAGCATCTTAGAGAGAGTTGAGGAACGAGTGTGTGCAAGACCTTAGATGTCACTTAAGAAATATTGTTAATTTATGACATGGCTATGAAAAAGAAATTCCTGCCAGGTAGAATTCCATATTAGACTATTTTTATAGTGAGTGCCAGACATTATATCTAGGATTTGTGGGACTGGAGTGATGACTCAGCAGTTCTGCAGAGGACCTGAGTTAGACTCCCAGCACGCACATCAGATGGCTCACAGCTGTTTGTAACTCCAGTTCCAGGGGATCCAACACCCTTCTCTGGCTTCTGGGGGGCCCTGGCATGCATATAAATTCATGAAGGCACACACAAACATACATATAAAAATAAATCTTAAAATACTTTGTTGGAGACTCTAGAGAATATGAATACAGGGAAATGGTAGATGAGAAGAAAAAGGCAAAATGTTGATAAATTGTGAAAAGATGGATGATGGGTATATATATTTTAATATTCTTTATTCAAAAAATTTTTTGATTGAAATTTTGTGATTTTTAGACAATTTGATGGTATTTAGATCCCTCCCCCCACCCAATTCAGTGTACTCCACTATATATACAGTACAGCCTGTAGAGTCTGATTTGTGTCCCCATATGTCCCTCAATTTGGTTCCATCCACTGGAACCTGGTCAGCCTACCTAGAGTCCCATCCCTGTAAGAGACTCTGTCACCCACTACATACATTATGTGTATGTGTGTATTGGAATTACAGATGGTTGTTAGTGGTCATGTGGGTGCTGGGAATTGAACCTGTGTCCTCTGCAAGAGCAGCCAGTGCTCTTAACCACTGAGCCATCTCTCCAGCCCCTGTAATATTTTAATATTCTCCACAGTATTGGTAATATTTGAAATGTTTCTATTATGTAGTCCCAGCACTTGGGAGGCAGAGGCAGGTGGATCTCTGTGAGTTTGAGGCCAGCCTAGTCTACATAGTGAGTTCCAGGATAGCTGGGGCTACAGGGAGACCCTGCTTCAAAAAGACAAAAAAAAATATTTGTTCAAATTGTTTTCAATTTTAAAATAAAACTTAAATGATTGGCCATCACTCACTCGTAGGGCCCTTAGCTCTCTATCAGGTACATGTAACTGCAATGAGGAGTCTGATGCTAGAGGACAAGTAGCTGCAGTCTCCCTTTTCTATTCAGGAGGAGGAGAACAAGAGGCTGCAAGAACGACAGCTGGAACAAGAAGAAAGGCTCGCCACGGAGCTGGCCAGACTGAAGCACGACAGCCTCAAGGACGAGAAGATGAGGCAGCAAGTGAGAGAGAACAGGTGTCTGGGTTTCCGCAGTTCCCTGCCGGTGCTCGACCACTGCGTTGTTAACGTTATCCTTAGCACCTGGACGTGAAAGTTCTTTATTATCTTTGCATTTATACTTAATTCTTTGCCTGGAAATACCACATTAGGCTTAAAAACACTCTTGAATGACTTTGTTTTGTTGTGGCGCTGGGCATTGAACCAGTTCCCGCACGTGCTAGGCAAGCGTTCTACCATAAATCATAGCCTCTGCCCACAGAAACATTTGAGAAAATCTGCTGCATCAATAAAGTGTGAATGTTTATAGTGAAAATTATCAGTTCCTTCTACCCTTTCTTTTAAGCATAAGTTTGTAGAGTCCTAGAATAGTGTTTGTTTTTGTTTTATTTATTGTTTGTTTGTTTTCCTGAAGATAGTTTCACTATGTAGCCCTTGACGTCCTGGAACTCCTTTATGTAGACCAGGCTGGACTCAAACTCATAGAGATCCACCTATCTCTGCCTTTGGAGTGCTGGGATTAAAGGTGTTGTCACCAAGCCTGGCCCTAGAATAGATTTTTTTTCCTTGTTGCTGTTGTTCTTTTTTTTTTTTTTTTTTTTTTTTTTTTTTTTTTTTTTTGTCTTTTTTGTCTTTTTGTTGGTTGTTTTTTAACAGGGTCTCTCTAGTCAGAAAAGAGCTTTGGATCCCCTGGAACTGGAGTTACAGATGGTTGTTAGCTTCCATATGGGTGCTGGGAATCGAACCTGGGTCCTCTACAAGAGCAGCCAGTGCTTTTAACTGCAGAGCCATTTCTCCAGCCCACTCTCTTTTTGTAATTTTTTTTCTTTTTGTCTTTTTGAGACAGGGTCTACCTGTAGTCCCAGCTGACCTGAACTCACTATGTAGACCAGGCTGGCCTTGAACTCACAAAGATCCACCTGCCTCTGCCTCCCAAGTGCTGGGATTAAAGGTGTGGGCCACCACACCCAGCTTTTTTTTTTTTTCCTAATTTTTAAAAATATTTTATTATTTTTATTATGTGTATGTGTGTATTGCCTGCATGTATGTAAGTGCATCCATGTCGTGCAATGCCCACAGAGGTCAGAAGAGGGTATTGGATTCCCCTGAAACTGGAGTTATGGGTGGTTGTTAACTGCCATGAGGGTGCTGGGACCCAAACCCAGGTCCTCTGTAAGAACAGCCAGTGCCCTTCACCACTGAGCCATCTCTCCAATCCCTAGAATAGATTTCTTAATGCTTCCCAAAATCGAATGTAGGGGCAATCATGCCGTTTTGTCACTCAAAACTTAGGACCAAATAAATTGGCAGGACTGGAAATGCAAAGCATCAAGAATTGCTTAGACTTTTTGTTTGAAGAAGCCAGCCAAAAGTAGAGACTAATACTTCTCGAGGATATGAACATTTATAATCTGTGATAGTTAAGATAGTTTAATACTGACATAGAGTAAACAGATAGATGAATGAGAAAAGAGCCATCCTGGACCAAAAGGTAAAGTCATCTCCCACCAAGCCTGAAGACCTGAGTTCAGTGCCTGGGATCCACATGGTTGGAAGGCGAGAACACATTCCTGCAAGTTGTCCTCTGACTTCCACACAAGTGTTGTAGCATCACCTCCCCTAACACACACACACACACACACACACACACACACACAAATAAGTGTAAAAGAAAATTAAATCAGAAAGGAACGATCCTTCTCAACCAGAAAATTAAGTCCCAACACTTTATCCACCAAATGTGATGAATTAAGGTATTTTTCCTGTGGACATAAAATGATACCAGTTGTTTACAGTCCTTGAGAAAATGAAAATATATCGTCTCCTGTAAAGTTTCTTTCTCTTGTTGTTCTCAAATTTAAAGTTGTATTTTTCCACAGCACTGAGCTCAGAGAATTGGAGCAGAAATTGAAAGCAGCCTACATGAATAAAGAAAGGGCAGCACAGATTGCGGAGAGGGACGCCATCAAATACGAGCAAATGGTAAAGCTGTTTCCTGTCACCACGATGCTGTGTGCTTTAGCTCCCTTAGAAACCAAACACAGGCCAGGTGTGGGGAATTGTTGCATTCTGTGAAGAATTTACACCGCTTGATTTCTCAAATCCTTGTGTAATTTTCAGACCCGAAAGGTATCAAAACTGTCAAGTGATTTCATGTGAGCCTTTTGTAACTCAACACTTAGCACTCTGACCAGCCCAGGTACCTCGACTTTTTCTGTGTTCTCCAACTCATTACTTCCTGACAGACTAACAGAGTACAGTCAGTATTCTAAAACATAATTATGCTTTAAAGCATTTTATTTTTAAAACATTTTATTTTATTTTTCTTGTAAGAGTATATTACCTGCATGTATGTAAATACACCCATGTCATGTAATGCCTGTGGAGGCCAGAAGATTCCCCTGGAACTCGAGTTCCAGGGGGTCCTCGGCAAGAGTACCCAGTGCTCTTAACCACTGAGCCATCTCTCCAACCCCTAGCTTTTTATTTTTACATGCTTATGATTTGACCATTTTACGTAGAAAACCTCCGTTTTATGAAAGCAGTCTCTTCCCGTTTTTCTGTTTTTTCCCCTTTTCTGACTCTCTAGGGCAAGGGTTACTCTAAGGTAAAGGGGTCTCACACACACTCAGCCGCAGTGCCATGCAGTACTGTGCAAGGTCTGCTGAGCGAGCACTTAAACCAGGGTGCACATCCTCATTTGAGCTCATTTTCACATAGAAAGGCCAGACAATTACATAGGAATTTATGTGTTCATATATGTGTATTGCGAATATCAACAAATATGTTTACTCACATGATTATAGAGCTGATATCCAAACATTTAATCAGTGTAGTGAAACATAAGAATTCATTGGGAATAGATGCAGGCTGCAGAAAGCACACATGTCTGTGTACATTCTCAGCACTGTAGCAGGTGTCTGGAGGATTCTGTAGTGTGCTGTTAAATGCCATTAGGAAGACAGGGAGACCACAGTTTATAAACTGTCTAGTTCTGTCCGGTCCTTGCAACAATGAAATAGAACAGAATGTACTGTTTAATGTTCAGTGGTTTGTAGTTGAGGTTGTTCTCGGCTATTAAATATGTCTTAATCCTAAAAAAATTGCTATTTTATAAATTTAAATTGACTTGAAAAATTAGAGCCAAATACTCTTAACACTTCACTAAATGGAAGGGTATCCTTGTACTGGTTAGTTTTCTTATCTGTGAAGTTAGAACATTGTGTTTCTATAAGCCTGTGTCAATCAATACATACTTTTTGCTATTTTATATATTTTTAGAAGAACTTAGTACAACATATGCAAAAAGAGGTTTTGGTTAAGACATAGTAATAGGGCAAATATATCAGTTACACAGGAATGACATCTTTTAATCTGTTAGCTGCTAACTCTTCCTTGCATTTGGGATGTGATCATTCAGACAACGGGTAGTCGAAGCATTGCTCCAGTATGTTTAAAATTTACTTTGTTAAGTGATTTGAAATATGCTGAAAAGAACTAAGGGGTTTAATTTATCCAAGGAAACAACTGTCTATACCTCAGTGGGAATGACATTGAGTAACTGAATTAAAAATGTCAGAAAACAGGGCTGGGTATATTTCAATCCCAGATGCAGAGGCAGGCAGATCTCTATGAGATGGAGGCCAGTTTGGTGTACATAGTGAATTCCAGGCCAGCTGGAGCTACAGGGAGATCCTGTCTCAAAAAACTAAACATAAATAAATCAAAAGTGAGAAAACAGGCAGAGTAACATGATCTTTTAAGGAGAAATGGTCAAAAAGAGCTTTTAGTAAACAGAAAAGAGAAATGAAAGGATGAAAGAAAGCCTCAGTTGATAGAAACGTGCACTGATAAACAGTGGAGCTAGACACAGGGCTACTGTACGCATCAACTTCTAAACAGAAGAAGCCGTGCCCACCCTCGCTCCCGGTTACTGATACTCAGAACTCTGCTCTCTAGTTTTCTGATTGCAGACTTTATTGTCCTCGGCTGGTGTTGCCCTGCAAGCTTCAGGAAGGAGTAAGAATGACTAGGTCTGACTCATCAGTCACACTCTTTGGATCACAAAGACTTACTCTTGCTTTTTACCTAATAGCTAAAAAATATTTACCCAACAGGCTTTCTCATATGCAGCTGTGTCTATAATATTCTGTCAAACTGTAAAGATCTGAAAATGGAAAGGCAAATTCTATTTTAATATTAGAAACGTGATGCTGAAATAGCCAGAATCATGATGGAAGAGCATGAGCGACTCAGGAAGGAGGAGGATGCTGCAGAAGGCCAGCGGAACAGGGAGAAGGTACAGTACCACCTGGACCTGGAGAAACAGATGGAAGACCAAGAACGGAGGAAGCAGGAGGCATACGAGCAGCTGCTGAAGGAGAAGCTCATGATCGACGAAATTGTGAGGAAGATCTATGAGGAAGACCAGCTGTGAGTGTGCCCAACCTCACCTGCCCACTCTTCACTGTGGGTGGTCGTGGGTTTGCTGGGAGGACATAAAGCTCATGGGGCAGTGTCTGGACTGGGCACAGACACTTATTCACCTTTGTCAGAATGAATATTGATAAATTATTTGATCAATAATAAGTGTGCCTAAGTGGCTAACTGATCTATACCTCTGTGTTCTTAAATTTGTCCATATTATATGCCAGAGGATATTCTGATGGATCTTGTTGGGTACACAACTTAAGGGCAGTGTTTATTCTGACGACTGTAACTTTTCTAAAATGAGATGCATAAAAAATTCTTTAGGGGGCTGGAGAAAGGGTTCTGCAGTTAAGAGCACTTGCTCTTGCAGAGGACCCAGGTTCGGTTCCCAGCACCCACATGGTGACTCACAACTGTAACTCCAGTTCCAGAGGATCTGACATCCTCTTCTGACCTCCATGGGCACCAGGCATGCACATGGTACACTTAAATGCAAGTAAAACACTCATATACATAACATAAAATTTTAAAAATTTTCCTTATTACATTAGAATGGAAGCATGGTAGTATTTTCTGAGAGAGAACTTGTACCTGGAACTATATTTAGTAGCAAAGAGAAGACATTCAGACTGTTTGCTGCATTAATGAATTAACAGACTATAAATAGGAAAGCTGTTTTATTCCCCATATTATTATCAACAGAAAGAAATTCCTCTTTTTGGTATTTTTTAAATATCTTATTTATTATTTTTATTTTATGTATTTGAGTGTATTTCTTGTGTGTAGGTAGGTGCACCCATGTTGTGCAATGCCCATGGAAGTCAGAAGAGGGCATCAGATCCCCTGGAACTGGAGTTATGGATGGTTGTTAGCCACCATATGGATACTGGGAACTGAACCTGAGTCCTCTGCAAGAGCAGCCAGTGCTCTTAACCACGGAGACACCTCTCCAGCCCCAGTATTATTATTTCTATAACTATAAAACCATTCCCCCAATTGCTTTTTAGGGAAAGACAACAAAAATTAGAAAAAATGTATGCAACTCGGAAGCAAATCGAAGAGTTTGAGAGACAGCAGGCTCTCTGGAGACAAAAGAAGCAAGAGGAGATGGAGGAGGAAAACAGGAAAATTGCAGAGTTTGCCAATTTACAGCAGCAAAGAGAAGAGGAGCGAATGGCCAGGGTTCAAAAGATCGAGGAAAAGCGGCTCCAGCTTCAGAATATGGTATTAAAAGAACCACTTTTAAAGATGTTGAAGTTCTAAAACCGTTACTCAGCTTGGATATATAAACATTTGTGTTTTTTAAAAATTTGATAGCTGACTCAGAGGTTGGAAGAAATGCTGCGGCAGCGTGATGATTTGGAACAAGTGCGACAAGAGCTGTACCAGGAGGAGCAAGCCGAGATCATGGAGAGGAAACTAAAAGTAAGTTTCAGGAATGGGAAGATTCATGTAGAGAAGACTTCTGAGGTGAAGCAGTAGAAAGAGCGGAGGTTGATTCAACCATATTAGTAATTATGTTATATAAATGGAATACATACTGCAGTTAAAAGACTAAGATTGTCAATCTGGATAAAAATGCTGGGCTCAGGCAGCAGTGTACAAAGTGCATCATAAAGGGCAAGGTGCAGCTATGTTGTTCACAGCTTAGCTGTGACTCCACATGTAGTTTCAAAGCAGAAGGACCAAGGAAGACATAACATGCAGGCAATTAAAAGCATACTGGAGTGCATATACTAATAAGAGACAAATCCAATTTGGGGACAAGCAGTTTTTTAATCAGAATTAAATTCATCCAAGTACACATGAAAGTCCTAAGGAGTAGGAACCTAAACAGTACAGCTTCACAATACATGAGGCACAAGTGACAGGAGTGAAAGGGGAATCAGACTGAGCCTTCGTCAGAGTAGATCTCAGCATTACTGCATTATTAATATATGTGAGTGCTCAGAAACACAGAGTAGAGTTCCAAACCACGGTATCAAACAGCTTGCCTAACAGATGTTACAGAAGACTTCACCCGGCAACAGAATACGAATTCCATTTAAGTACACACAGAACATGCCTGGACAGTTCATATTCTAGGGCATAAAGCAAGTGTCAATAAATTCACAAGGTTTTAAGTCACACCAGGTCTATTTTCTTAACTATAGTGGAATTAAGTGAGAAATCCATAATGTGAAATACCTGCACATTCCCTAAGTGTGTTATAGTGAAACCGTGTATTTCTAGATAAGCCATGAGCAAAGGAAACATACTTCAAGTTGACTAGCAATAAAAAAACAATGTACCAAAAATGTGGAGTACAGCTAGAGCAGGGGTCGATGGGAAATTTACATCTTTAAGTGCAGTCTAAGAAGAATGGTTAAAAAGCAGTGACCTTGGGCTGGTGAGATGACTCAGTGGTTAAAAGCACTCTTGCAGAGGACCTGGGTTCTGTTTCCAGCACCCACAACTGTCTCTAACTGCAGTTCGGGGGATCTGGCACTCTATTCTGGCCTCAATTGGCATTGTACACATGAGTGCACTTATATACAAACAGGCAGAACACTCATACACATAAAATAAAAATAAGTCAAAAAATATTTAATCAATGATCTTAGAGTTATACACATATTTGTACACATATGTTCATAGCATTATTTGTCTTTTTTTTTTTCCGGAGCTGAGGACCGAACCCAGGGCCTAGGCAAGCGCTCTACCACTGAGCTAAATCCCCAACCCCCTATAGCATTATTTATAATAATAGATAAAATATGAGAATAGAACACATGTCCATCAGCTGATGGGTGTGTAAACAAAATGTAGTGTGTGAACCTTTAGCTGTATTCTAAGAAAATACCCAGGAATGTTCTGTGGATGGATGGAACTGTGCAGAACCTTGTGAGATCAGCTGCTTTCCTGATGCAGAATTCCCTGGACATTCATTCATGTTGTTGCTTATATCCATACGCGGTTCCCTTTGGGGACAGCTAAAGAGTACATGTGTGAGAGCTTAGATAAACTGTGCTGGTAGCTTCCCAGCGTGGATGTGAGTGGCAGCAGAGAGCTGACCTCTCTGCCTATCCCTAACCAACTGGACAACCTGTGATGGGTGATGGCTCCTTCTGACCTTCCTGAAAAGGCTGAGCCCCGGCATCCACAGTGTAACCAGCTCAGCAGCGTGTTGGCTTATCTTCCCTCCCTGCTCCACTCTGCTTGTTTCTCACTGCCAGCTGGACTGTTTCTCAGGCATAAAATATCTATACAAAAGCCCTGGTTGAAGTCTGTGTCCTCACCTCCTCTGATACCGGAGGACAGTCCCGAATGGGCTATCTCCTGAAAGTCACTGCGGTCAGAGTGATTGCACAGGGAGCTATTTCAGGGTTTCAGTGAATAGCTATTTCTAAAACTACATAATGGGTTTTAGAATACAGGGAAGGATAGGAAATCAGCAGCTTATACCATACAATCAGCACAGCCCTTATCCAGACCTAGTTGAGAGATGGGAATGCTTTTACAGTTGAAAAATACTTTGTTTGGTCAAACATTTCTCAGTGTGTTGAATTAAATTAAAATTTTCTATTGAAGGTAGATTCTCAGAACTACCAATGGTATGATTGTTTTAAATTTAGCTCCACATACAGTATATCAATATGCTCAGGTATACAAAAATAAATTTCATATTAGCTCTTTTCAAAGTAGTTGTATGTTGACTCTGAGCTCAGAAACAAGATGGTAGATACATACAGATTAAATGTTGAAAGTAAATGCTGGAAAGCCATGCTAAAGACATGCCATTGTGTTCAGATTGTTTTACAAGAATGGGACAAAGTATTATCATGAAAAGTCTTAAGTTTTTGGTTTGTATGATTTCATAGCATAATACTCATTGTAACCAAACTCTGTCCTAGTCATTTGATTTTTTTAAATATTTTATTTATTATTTTTATTTTATGTGTATGAGTACATTGTCTGCATGTATGTGAGTGCACCCGTGTTGTGCAAGGCCGCAGAGGTCAGAAGAGGGCTTCAGATTCCCCTGGAACTGGAGTTAAGGACGGTTTGTAGCTGCCATGTGGGTTCTGGGAATTGAACCCAGGTCCTCTGCAAGAGCAGTCAGTGCTCTTAACCGCTGAGCCATCTCTCCAGCCCCTGATTTGATTGCTTGTTTTCTGAGACAGCATCTCTTTGTAGCCCAGGCTGGCCTCAAGCTTGTGAATCCCCATACTTCTGCCTCCTGAGTACTGGGTTACCTTCTTTTCTAAATGTGATGTAAGGACATGGCCACCAAGTTAACTTCTAACGTCATCATTTTTTTCAGGAAGAAGCAGAGCAGAAGCTGAGAAAGAAGAAAGAAATGAAGCAAGACTTTGAAGACCAAATGGCCTTGAAGGAAATAATACTTCAGGCAGCCAGAGAGGAAGAGGAGAGCTTTAGAAAAGCTATGCTAGCCAAGCTTGCTGAAGACGATCGACTAGAACTAATGAATGCCCAGAAACAACGAATGAAGCAGCTAGAACACAAAAGGGCAGTGGAGAAACTCATCGAAGAGCGTCACAACCAGTTCCTTGCAGACAAAGTAAGGAAAAGATTGGGGATTTTTGTTGTTGTTGTTATCATTGGACAGAAACTTGTGTATTCATCACTAAGCATTTACTGGCAGCCTTTGTGTACACACACACACACGTGTGTGTGTGTGTGTCTCTCTGTGTGTGTGTGTGTGTGTGTGTGCATGCCCCTGTGCGCACATGAGTGCATAGTGTGGGTGTGGAGGTAGAGCACACCTGGGTATCAGGCCTCTCCTTCACCTTGTTTGACCCAGGGTTGGTCTGTTGTTCTCTGTATATGCACTCCAGGCTACCTTCCGTCAGGCTCCTGGGATTCTCCTGCCCCCATCTCCCATCTTGCCATAGCAACCCTGCAATTACAGGTGCACACCTGTCTTTACGTGGGTTCTGGGGATCCAAACTTACACAGCAAACACTGCCCATGGAGCCGTCTCTCCAGCCTTCCTGAGAACCTTTCATGTGTCAAACAATGTTAGATATTTGTTTTCCAGTCATATGATCTACAAAGTTACTGAGGACCATTTATTAAGACATCAGGAAACTTTATTTTATTTATTTTAATTTTATGTGTATGAGTGTATTGCCTGCATGTATGTAAGTGCATCCATGTCATGCAATGCCCACGGAAGTCAGAAGAAGGCATTGGATCCCCTGGAACTTGAGTTAGAGATGGGTTGTTAGCCACCATGTGGGTGCTGGGATTCGAACCCGGGTCCTCTGCAAGAACAGTCAGGGCCGCTGAGCCATCTCTCTAGCCCCAGGAAACTGTTTATTAATGCTTCCTATGTGCTAAATGCTGGTTGATGTTGAAAACATAAAGATTACTAAGTCCTTGTTACCTGTGAATTTATACTCTTGGTTGAGAAAAATACAAAAATTAAAGATACTTCATATGTGATAATAAAGATTTGATATGTTGGTATATCAGAGAAGAATTACAGCTTATTAACACCCTGTACATTAAGAAGGTGAATTTTTTTCCCAAGAGGAACCACTGAAGAATTAGGGAAACTATGTGATAAGATTGGATTTTGAAAGACCATTCAAGTAGCAACATTGCTACTTGGAAGGAGGAAGGCTGGAGGTAGGGAGGCCAGTACGGAGCACATATATCCCAGTAATCAGTTGGACACATGCGAATGGAGGGCTCACCTCAGAGATGATGATCATGCACAGTGGATGATGTTGGGGGCCACAGAGATCTAGAGAAGACTTAAGGCAACTAGTGATTACAAATACTGTTACTTCTATCTTCAGTGAATGGACCATGTCCTAAAGAAAGGTAGACTTTGAAGGAATATATAATTCCATTTTATTCATATTAATTTTGTGGCTGAAAGTGAATATCTATTCTTGGAAATGTGGATTTAAGAGTTGGAGAGGGTCAGCTTGTGACTCTGGCACAATAGAGTTACGTATTTATGTTTCATTGATCAAACTGAAGGAATCCTCAAATAATGTGTGTCGCTGAATGGCTGTGTTTGAAGACCCAAATGTGGTCGGTCATGGGTAAGTGCTTTGAAAAGATGAATAGCTCTAGATGTGGGGCGCACAGTCTCCTAGGCAGACGGCCGGCATCATTAGTAATAGAGGGTGGTCAGAATTTTTATGGGCTAAAAACAGCAATAGGAGGTGAAAAAGAATTTAAATTTCATCCTTTTTAGATAAACGAGACAGTATGATTTTTAGCATATAAGGTAGAGTAAGGAAGGAACAAAAATAATTGAAAGGTCTCAAATAAGAGAACCCAAGGAATATACACACTATTGTGTTTTGAGTTGGAGCTGGAAGATCATGACTTCTGTTTTAGGCGTGTTGAGTTTGAACCAGAAATGCAAGGTGAAGGTACCCTGAAGTCAGTCAAGCAGAAGAGTGAAATGTGGGCTGGTTTCTGATTCCTGCTTACCTGGAATTAAGCAGGATTCAGAGAAATTAAAAAAGAGATGGTACCTCCAAAGAATATGTTATAATGAAAAACAATCAGGGGACCTAGGATTGAGTCCTGGTGGACAGGTTAGCTTAAAATGGAGCAGGAGGAAGAAAAAAAAAAACAAAAAATGTTCAAAAAGCTGAGAGAACCTACGTGGTATAGTCACAGAAAATCAGGTCAGTGGTCTCTGCCAGCCCCCTAAAAATTCTAACTGGTCTCCTTGTAACTTTAGTCAACCTACCACAAGCCAAGGACTTTTAAAAAGTCTCATCATGTCCTTTTCATGTGTAAACCTCACTTGACTCTCACAAATAAACCTCAGTTCCTTAGGCTTGACATAAATCAGTCATGACCCGAATCTAGCCCTTAGGAGAGATAAATATCTATAAAGTGCAATTTGCCTGACACCTGGTAATACTTTATAAATGTTGAATTAATGAAGGCAGTAACTATTGGCACAGTGATCAGGGAAGCAGAAAATTAGGAGACTTTTGGAATTTCCCATAAAGCTTTGACTACTTACTCCCTGTCTGTAAAAGGGTAGGACCAGTGGTAGACTGGGCTTGCTCAGGGAAACAGAGTAAGTCAAGATGTGTACAGATGGGAATCAGATAAAACCGCCTAAGGACACACGTACACAATTCATGTGTTAGTTTTTTTTATCATAAACATTTCTGGTATGAAGTGGGCTTAGCTTTAAATGTGGTAAGATGCGGCCACAGTTTTGTTCTGACTCCAGGACAATGTGGATCTTCTTAACAATAGAACTTAGTAATTGATGTCATTGAACAATCCTAAGGCACTAACCCTGCTTTTTATATTTCAGATATGGTTCTAAGTAGCTATCTATAATTGTCCACTGCTAAAAATTTGTATGGTTTAGACAGTCCTACAAATTTCCCTAGGGACGTTTCCTACCACCAGAGCTATTCAGAATTTGGCCAGCATATGCAGACTGATTCTATGCCCTTCTAAACCATTTATAGTAACTTACTATAGACTTCACAGTACACATTTAGTGTGATTTAGCACATCTTAAGAAGGGAAATCCTGTATTAGGCTCAAATTTGAATGTCTACATCATCACATAAAAATCCAGTACTGTGAGGCCCTGGGTTCAGTCCCCACTACTGCAGATCCTATTCAGCAGTCATTTGGATAGAGTTGTGAGTCCTTTAGGGCCCTCAGTATGATAATGACATCATGTTTGTATTATATGACACAGAGTATTCAGAGAATTCTGAATTCTTTCCAGAGAAACAGCAGTTCCTTTGCTGGAGCTCTAACCCCTACCCTTGTGCTCTGTTCATTAGGGTTTTTTGTGTTTTTTTTTTGGTCTTGCACTGTCCACTGTTTTGAGTACATGGTATATGGTGAGAATTCCATAAATATTTGTTAAAATTATTAGGAGATACTCCTTTGAATGCTTTTTTCCCTTAGGATCAAAGATTTCCCTAAAAATATGTACTTGCCTCCCTAAAAATTGTAGTTATGAGGGGTATAGTTGTAACTCAGTGGTAGAGTGCTTGCCCAGCAAGTACAAGGCCCTGGGTTCAATCCCCAGTACCAAAAACCAAAGCATAATAACTGTGTTATGATGCCATACCTGTCGTTCTTAAAAGTTTAAAGGAATATAAAAGGATTATAAAAATATAGAGGTATATGTATTTGTTTAATATATGTAAAAGACATAGATGTACCAGTATCTTTTGAACGTCTGATCCATCAATCTTATCATCTAGTTCACTGTGAGAACAGTGTATTTGGAAACTTCATGAGAGATTACTGTGCTTTGCGGAGTTAGACCATTTGATTTGCATTTCCAGCAACGTGAGCTGGAAGAGTGGCAGCTGCAGCAGAAACAGCAGGGCTGCATTAACACGATCATCGAGGAAGAAAGGCTGAGACTCCTCAAAGAACATGCTGCAAAACTGCTCGGATATCTCCCCAAAGTAAGTGAGGCTTGCACCTCAGGGTGTGATCTTCATGACCTCTAATCATGGGGAGAAATCAGCCTGGTTCTAGAACACTGGTGGGTGAAGATTTGATGCACTTCTTGGCTCTGTTTGGAAGCAGCAGTGACTCTCAGCCAAGTGCTGAACCTCTCTGGTCCCATTTAAACACCTCTGTAGTGAATACAGTTGGTCTTGGCATGTTATTAGAGATCTGAGCCGGATTTACTGAACTTCTCTCTTTTTCAAATTTAATTTTTGAAACAGGGTCTAGCCCAGGCTGGCCTGGAACTCCCTGAGAACCTGAGAATGATCTTGAATTTCTCCTCCAGGTTTATGCAGTGCTTAGAATTGAATCCAAAGCCTTATGCACGTTAGGCAAGCACCCTATGAAGTGAGCTATATCCCTAGCCCCGGAACTGATATTTCAGACTTTTTGATCTCCTTTCTGCATAGGCAACCTAAAAATAAACTACCTTAGACCAGCTATAAAACTAAAAACACATGATGATAAACATGATGATAATTGGTAATGCAATAGCGGGCACCTGCTTGATCTGATTCAGAAGAGTCTGCTCTGTAGGTGATCATGTTATAACTAGGACTGGGCAACCTTAGTTTCTAAGAGTAATTCCAAAAGGTAGTGCATTTTCATATGTATCTGAGACATGTGGTTACTAATGAGCTTCATAGTCTGCAGAAACTTCTGCATTTATATTTTTACTGAGTGTAGAAGCAAGTGTGTGTTTGTGTTCAGTATATGACCAGTGCAAGTAGGAGAAAAGACTTAAAGTATTAAGATCACATGACTAATTGATGGCCTGACCACAGGGTCTTATAGTCTAATTGATTAGGTAGATGGACTACAACATGATAAACTGAGGATAAAATCCATATGTAATTGATATTTTAAATAAATGAATGATAAGAAAATCTTTGGATTTCGATATTTCAGTGGAGGAAATGATTATGGCAGCCAAAGGAAAAGTTATTCTAATAGATTTGATGTCCCCAAATGGCCATTAACCTTTAGGTCCTAGCTGCCCCAAGTAACCTTAGCTGTCCTTTGAATCTTTTAGCGTTCAAGATAAACCTTTCAGCTTAGTATGGTTTTAAAAGAACGAAGTGTTTCCAAAGGCTTGCTTAAATGCTTTAGCTCCAAACCTGCCCTGTTTTCTGCCAGATGGATAGTTGCTGATGAGCCCGTGAGGCAGTTAAGATGAATCCCATGCATGAATCTCACAAAAGTTAGTCTCTCCGCCTTTGATCCCCTCGTATCATGCGACAACTATTTTAAATCAAGGGGAGAGCACAAAAGGTGTCAAGTTCTGTTACTTCCAGGCAGTGTAATAGTGTAATAGTTGAAAAGCAGAGTTTTCTGGCACAGCCTTCTGCTCTGAAGGTGATGAATCAAGACACGGAGGCAGCTCAGGAATGTTCACAGTATGCCTGAAGTTATAATGTTTGGAAATTAGTGATTTTTAAAAATCTTTTCTTAAACCTGTTGAATAGATTTCATTGTCTTGGATAACTTTATTAACCTCATGTGAACTTCATTAACCTTATGCTAGTTTTAAGAGTATTTAGTGATACTGTCATGTTCCAAAGTAATCAATAAAATGTTTTTCTTGTAGGGAGTATTTAAAAAAGAGGATGATATTGATATGCTTGGTGAAGAGTTTAGGAAAGTATATCAGAAGAGGAGTGAAGTTTGTGAAGAGAAGTGACGGACGTCGGCAAGATTTGATAAAACCTGAAGTTTTTGTGTGCAACCACTAGATGTCAGCGGAACTTTTATTTTACTGTCAGTGGCAGCAGACATCTAGCATTTATTTGCATATTCTAAAACAACCATATTTCATCATTTATAAACAATTAGACAAAATTAAACACATTAACACTAACTGCAAAACTAGCCACTGTCATTTACTCTGAATTCTGCGACACCACATGTCATAGAATTCCAGGTGTGTATATAAGTAATGTATGCCAAGCACAAGCTAACTTCTCAACATCTCTAGTACTCCTGTGGGGGTGGGAGAGCTGAGGGGTTGCTGATTGCCCTGGAGTCTGGGTTCTTCCCAGAGGTGGACAAAGAATTGAACTCCCAGGGATGAGGTAGAGACTGTGAGAACAAGCATTGGTTGAAGCAGAAAACAGAGTAAGTAAAGAGCAAAGAGCAGAGATGCTGCCAAGGGCAGGGTCTCCAGAGCTGGCAGACGATGCACCAGGTAACTGCTGGGCTGGTTTTGTTATAGGGTCAGGGTCCCCAAGTCTTTCTCTCCCCCCGCCCGCCTTTTTTTACTTGTTTTTATTTTATGTGTATGAGTGTTTTACCTGCATGTATGTAAGCACACCTGTGTTGTGCAATGGCCATGGAGGCCAGATTCCCCTGGAACTGGAGTTAAAGACAGTTGTTAGCTTCCATATGGATGTTGGGAACCAAACCAGGTCCTCTGCAAGAGCAGCAAGTGCTCTTAACCACTGAGCTGTCTCTCCAGCTCCTCTTTCTCTCCTTTGATCCCTCATCCCACCCTGTCTTTTGGCCCAGTCAGCCCCATCCAGGATAGAGATAACTAAGAGAAGTGTCCTTGCCTGACAGATGGCCTTGTCAAGCCTGGAGTCTCATTTTTTTTGGTGAATGGCTTTGTTTTGACACATTCCAGCAGTTAAGTGGGAATATTTTTCCTTTCCTCCTTTCAACCTGTTCCCTAACAGCCTACTCTTAGCTAATTGCCAACATTCCCTGCCTCAAACTTCTGTCTTCTTCAGGATGGATGGGATCAGTGTTAGGGGTCCTGAGAAGTAGGCTGCTCTAAACGTTGATTGATGCCAACTATGATTCTTCTGGCTGATCCAGGCAAAGGATCCTGGGTGGATGAATGCTCAAGGCCAATCTGGTGTGCTTCGATAAAATTCAAATGATGGTGTGGATTCGGACAAAGGACAGCCATCTGATGAAGTGAGTTCTTACCATATGCTATGTAGGTGCAATAACATCTGTAACATAGAAGAAGCAAGATTATGAGACCAACTGTAATTCCTGTTGACAGAGAGTGCTGGACCAGCATTGCCTTAATTGGCAGAGGAAAATAGGCAAGAAATCCATCCAAAGAATCCGTAGGGCTGGAGAGATGGCTCAGGGGTTAAGAGCACTGGCAACTCTTGCAGAGGACCCTGGTTTGATGCCTAACATCCACATGATGTCTAACAACCATCCATAATTCCAGTTCCAAGAGAATCCAATGCCTTCTGACCTCCGTGGGCATTATAAGACATGGGTGCAATTACATGTAGGCAATACACTCATACATGTAAAGTAAAAATAAAAAATATATATATAAAAACATGGCATACCTGGTCATAAGCATTGACAGGGGTCATGACATCCTTTCCACCCTTACCTGTGTTTGTTGAGTGTGGTGAAGAACACTTAGTTTGGTCTAGGAGACCAAGGAGTTTCTTATTGGTCAGTTCAAAATATATAGCTGGCAATTAGATTTCTATTATATTAATCTCATGAGGAGCCTTAAAGGACAATGTTAAGAGAACTGTTCCGCATTGTTATTAATAGGCATTTTATTTAAGGAAGCAAGGTGTAGCTGTGCAGTTGGCTGGATGGTGCAACAAAGTCCTGTGTAAGGCAGCTGGTAGTTAGGGTACACATGAAAAGTCAGTGAGAGGTACCCTCCCAACAACCAATGCCCCGTCCATATGCCAGATGTAGTTCTTAGTGGGGTACACATTAAGGGCCAAGTTTGAGCGAAGTCGGGGTTCCAGTGTTGCTGTGAGCACAAAGTCCATTTTCTTTTTTGTTTAACTTTAAAAAAAATAACTTTATTGAGAATTTCACACATGCATATAAGGTGTTTTGATCAAATCCACGCCCACTCCCTCCCCTCCAACACCTCCCATATTTCCCCATCTCTTTTTTTCTGACAACTTCATGTACTCTTTCTTTCTTTTCCTTTTTAAAAATGGGGCCCCTCTAAAGAGGTAACCCTAAAATCTTTTAGGGATTAGATATGAGCTCCCAAATACTTTTATCATTTTTGGCCTTTGGAACAGAGTATGTTGCTAAAAGACCCAAGGACATTTTGACTTTTAGCCAAGAAACTGGCTACTTTTCTTTGGGGTCTTTTTACCCTTAACGGCCTAGCCAATTCCTACCTCCTATTCTTGTCACGCCATCCTCTGAAGAGGTTACCCAAATTGCCAATAGGCAATCAGGATACAGACTGCTCTGGCTTCTTCCATGCTGAACAGGGATACACGGTGAGCAATTGGGGTACAGTTGGGATTGCATTAAATCTATATATTGCTTTTGGTAGGATGGTCATTTTCACAATATTAATTCTTCCAATCCATGAGCATGGGGGTGTCTTCCTCAATCTCTTTAACGATTTAAAATTTTCATTGTAGAGATCTTTGGTGTCTTTGGTCAGATTTATTCCAAGGTTTTTTTTTCTTTTTCTTTTTCTTTTTTTTCCAGCAATTGTGAATGTGAGCATTTCCCTGTATTCTTTCTCCAATGGCTTGTTATTGGTATATACAAAGGCTACTGATTTTTGTAGATTGGTTTTATTATCTGCCACTACACTGAAAGTGTTGATCAGTTCTAGAAGTTTTCTGGTGGAACTTTGGGGATCTCTTTAGTATCATATGATCTGCAAAAAGTGATAGTTTGACCTCTTCTTTTCCAATTAGTGCTCCTTTAATTTCCTTCTCCTGTCTTATTGCTGTAGCAAGAGTTTCAAGCACTGTGTTGAAAAGGATGGAGATAGTGGACAGCCTTGTCTGGTTCATGATTTCAATGGGAATGCTTCCAGTTTTTCTCCATTTAGATGATGTTGGCTGTGGGTTTGTTGTATATAGCTTTAATTATGAGGTATGTTCCCTCCAGTCCAATTCCCTCTAGGACTTTGAATGTAAATGCATGCTGAATTTTGTCAAAAGCCTTTTCTGCATCTATTGAGATGACAATGTGGTTTTTGTCTTTGAGTCCATTTATATGATTAATTACACGTATTGATTTGTGTATATTGAACCAGCCCTGCATCTCTAGGATAAAGCCTACTTGATCATGGTGAATGGTCTTTTCGATGTACATCTGTATGCAGTTTGTATTTTGTTCAGAATTTTTGCATCTATGTTCATTAAGGATATGGGTCTATTGTTTTCTTTTTTGGTTGTGTCTTTACCCAGTTTGGGTATTAGAGTGATGCTGGCTTCATAGAAGGAATTTGGGAGTTCTCTCTCTGTTTCTATCATTTTGAATAATTTAAGTAGTATCGGTTGGAGGTCTTCTTTAAATGCCTGGTGGAATTCTCCTGTTTCAAAAATTGACTACATACTGGGCCACAAAACAAACCTCAACAAATACATGGGATTATTTCAATATTTTTGTATTTGTTGAGATTTGTTTTGTGGCCCAGTATGTGATCAGTTTTTGAAAACGTTCCATGGGGTGCTGAGTAGAAAGTGTATTCTTTGGTGCTTGGGAGGAATATTCAAAAGGTGTCTGTTAGGTCCATTTGATGTATAGTATCATTTATTTCAGATGTCTCCCTGTTTATTCTTTGTCCGGTTGACCTGTCTAATGGAGACAGTGGGGTACTGAAGTCCCCTACTATTACTGAGCTGGGGTTAATATGTGTCTTAAAGTCCTGTAGTGTTGTTTTTATGAATTTGGGTGTACCAGAGTTTGGTACATATATGGTAAGAATTGTAATACCTTCTTGATTAATTTTTCATTTGATCAGAATGAAGTGACACTCCTTATCTCTTCTGGTTAGTTTTACTTTGAAGCCTATTTTGTCAGATATTAGAATTGTAACCCCTGCTTGATTCTTAGTGCCAATTGCTTGGAATATTCTTTTCCATCCTTTTACCTTAAGGTAGTGCCTATCCTTGAAGGTGAGATGGGTTTCTTGCAGACAGCAAAGAGATGGATTTTATTTCTTTTTCTTTCTTTCTTTTTTTGTCTTTTTGAAGCAGGGTCTCCCTATAGCCCCAGCTGTCCTGAAACTCACTATGTAGATCAGGCTGGCCTTGAACTCACAGAGATCTGCCTGCCTCTGCCTCCCAAGTGCTGGGACTACAGGTGTGCACCTTAGCCTGTGTCTTTTGACTGGGGAGTTCAGTCCATTGATATTTAAGGTTATTATTGAAAGGTGTGTATTGGTTGCTGTCATTTTGATTGCTGTTTGTGTTCTCTGTCTAATTCTGTGTTTCCTCAATTATACCTTTATTTAATTTCTTTTGTTGCCCTAGGGTACAGTTGTTTCTCTCTTTGCTCTCTGTATTGCTTCAAGTATTCTTTGGAGGGCTGGTTTTGTGGACATGTGTTCTTTCGGGCTATTCGTGTCATGGAAGATTTTTCTTTCCCCCTCAACTATAATAGACATTTTTGCTGGGTAAAATATTCTGATCTGACATCTGTTGTCATGTAGAGCTGGAAATATCTTGGTCCAGGTTTTTCTGGCTTTCATAGTTTGCATTGATAAGTCAGCTGTAATTCTGATGGGCTTTCCTTTGTATGTGACTTAATGTTTTTCTTTTGCTGCTTTCAGTATTCTCTCTTTGTTCTGTACATTAGTGTTTTTACTGTGATATGTCATGGGGAGTTTCTTTTCTGATCCTATTTGGTGTTCTATGTGCTTCCTGTATTTGTATGGGGATGTCTTTCCTTAATTTCAGGAAATTCTCTTCTACAATCCTGTTTAAGATCTGGTCAACACCATTAACCTGAAATTCTTCTCTTTCCTCTACTCCTATGATCTGTAGATTTGGTCTTTTCATGGTATCCCACATCCCTTGCATATTCCATTCTTGTGCTTTTAAATTTTTTCCATAATCTTTGCTTGAGTGGTCCAGTTCTTCAACTTTATCCTCCAGTGTTGATATTCTGTTTTCCATTTCATTCATTCTA